ATGAATGATACAAATGAGATTAGATTAAAAATGAAAGTTTCAAAGGATTTATAATTTTTTATATTTTTTTATTACGTATATATTTTATTTCAATGTGTTGCGATGCATATGTGATTACTCTTTCAAATATTCTTCAACATATGCTCTTGTCACCATTTAAATTTTTGCAATAATTTATCTGTCTACTTGTACATCTGTCTATCTCTATGTATGTATGTTTGTATGTACATAAGCTAATGCTTATGTCTTTGGATGTATGCGTGTGTATTAGCGTGCGTGTGCGCGTGTGTGCGTCTAAATATGCCACTACCTATATGTGTGTGTGTGTGTATGTTTATGAGATTGGAATTGTATATATTGAAATGAGAAAAAAATTTTGCAGCTGTGAAGTAAATCAGCAGTTGAGAGTAGAAACATTGGTTACATTTTATACTTCCAATCATGGACATCAATCCATACATTAGCCTTACTATTCTAATAAGTATTAGAAAGCACTAAAGCATACAAACTTATTGATTGTTTTAATAAAATCAAATTAAATCACAGTGAAATTTCTGGAATACATCATTGATTATTAAAGTGAAGCTAAATAAAGGCATTCATAAACAACATCATTACATGCTACTTATTCATTCATCCATTATTTCCATCTATCCATCTATCTATCTATCTATTAGTCATTTAAAAGTTTCCTTTCGGTTTACTATCGGAATAAGTGAAATATTTTATGAATCACACATTCTTTCATTCTACTCTGTCACATCTTACTTCATTTGCATAACGATGCAAGCCACTGCAAACTAATGAAATACCTCTCTTCTTTGCATTCCTTTTTATCATTTAAATATAATTATACTGTTATTATCTTGCGATATCTATATAATATTCAATTTCACTCTTAACTGTAAAGATATCTGTATACTACAGTAACTTTTACTTATTTCTGTACAGTTGCATCTCAGACGATATGTCTGTCTTAACGTAGCACTGATTACCTCAGTAATGAGCTGTGCCAACATCACAATATGAAAAATTACCGAGTTACTCCATCAATTATAGTTTTAATATGAAAGTTGTAGTGCAAATAGCTGTGATAGCAATAGCTTTCATTGTGTGCCAATGATATATGTGAAGTAAGTTGGATTCGATCATTTCAATATAATATTAACTACACTAACTAACAAGTCTTCATCTCTACGTTAGATCTGTTATCCTTCTGAGCAAGTTGTAGAATTACTGATTAATCCTTGTAATGTGTAGTACTGTCATATTAGCTAATGTTGTGTGACCAGTCCACAATGACCACTGCTGTAATACAGTAATGCCAATTATTCGTGTTAATTTTCTAATTAACTACTGCTCTATTAATTAGTCTATACTTTACGTAATTGGTCATACTCAATTATTTCATCATTATTGCATTTTTACATTAGTAATTCAAACTTGAATATCAGCATTTGAAGTATAAATAGTAAGAAATCAACCGAGAATAATACTATCACTGACAGGAATGATTCAACAGAACGAATCTGTCTGCAAGTGATGCTGCAGTATTTTTTGGAATAATTAGTTTTCTCGTGGATTGAACTGCACATTGAGTTGTTTGTGTGAAATTTGAGTATGAACGATCGAGTTTTCTGTGATGGTTGTCACTTGCATTCATCATTTTGTTTTCTAACGTAATTCTTGAATCATTTAAATACTATGATTAAGATTACATGTATATTGAAAATATGCACGTTAATCTTCTGTTCTGGTTTTTTGATTCTGACGCTGGATCGTATCGTATTCCGGCATTCTGGCTATACTTGTCCCGCGCTCAGATTTGTTGTAATTGATAATAAGTAGTACCTGGTATTAATTTACAATATTTCGCAATACTTGATATTAATATGTAATAATAGTAAGCAAGTAAATAAAACAAGCAGTTAGTAATAATTGTTATGTATGTCTATTATTATTATTACTATTATTGATATTGTTGTTGGTGTAAC